AAAGGTATAAGCATAAGAACAGAGCAGAACATGAAGCTGCATCCTAAATTGAAAACTGTGACTTTAAGGATAAAAGCGTACAGCTGCTTGTGAATGTTTCTGCTCTTGACAATCCACAAGTACACGGATAAGGCGAGTACTAAGACTATTTTATTATGTCCTCAGCTCTAGCTGAATGTTATACTTGGCGTGAGTGACAACCCATTACAAAAATCAAAATTGGAAACAACTGGTATGGTTGACTAAGCCAAATTAAGAAAGTGGAAGTCATAAGAGCAAATGAGTAACTGGAGTGAAATAGAGTGCTGATACCCTTTGTCCAATAGACCAGCTTAATGATACAGTTTTATACTTTGAACATACACTTCTTATACACATACATGAGCGTATCTCACACATGCATAAATGCATAGTTTATACTCAACACTTAAAGCAGTAAATATATCGAATACTCTGAAAAAGATCCTGACAGTCGTAAATGCTGGCATCTAGCATGACACTATGACCTGAGTTTTACCCTAGGAAAAAATGAACCTTGATGCATCTAAGGCCAGCAACAATTATTCCTTGCTCTGGGTCTTCTCTGAGTTCCAGGTGACCTGATGACCTTTCAAGCAAGTCATAGATAACCTGTACATTTTAATTGTCAGACATGGACCAATATGATTAATCATAAAAGTCAAAATGAAGATCTTTTCTTTTGTTCTTTACATATGGGAACTCTACCTCATTGTAAACTTCAAGATAAGAACAAGTAACTTCAAATTGATCGCAGCTATTATCTTTCTTTATAAGATCAAAAATTGTTTTAAGACTGAGAACCATAAGTCCAGGGTCATCTTGAGTCCCTACCATTGTATATGTTTTACCGCTGGAAAGAAAAAACCATATTAGATGAAGAAAAAAATTCACAAGGTGCATATTAATCACACAACCAAAAAGAATAAAATCTGATAAGATCCTCTTGTGATGATATGAGAAGATGTTGCCTACCAATCATTTGATTGCAAAATACAGGTGAACGAAGGGCAACAATATATGTACCATTACATAAAGAACCAAAGGAGGGGAGAGAAGGATGAGAAGCTGAGCGAATAGGAGAGGACAAAGTTTAAGGTCTTAAACCTACATTGCTCTGGAAAAGATAATGACAATGTGGCATCTCCAAATAAATAATTAATATATTATTCCTTCAAAGGTAGGCTACAACTAATTGCAAGACTCTTGCATTACTAAAACTACTCTTTTGGTATCATGCATTTTGTCACTTCCATTTCTTCTGCCAGTTATAAAATGAGAGAGAGGCAGTGATACTACTGCAGTTGGGGTGAAAAATTTTTTGATCCTTATGAGAAAAGTTTGAAATGTTCACGAGGCCTCTGTCAGTGATACATAAGGCCTTGAGATCAGAATGTCTTAGGCTACCAGAAAATGCACAGCAAGTTATTAGTATACCTATACCTTACCATGTGTTAACATGCATTTAATTCCCCTCACGAAACTAACAAATTTGAAACCAAAAGCAAAAGAGAAACAGGCAAGACAAATAAAATCATGAGCTTAAGAAAGCTATCAATCTATCTTGATATTTCTCAAAGTGCAAATGTGTCTGGTAAGCTCCACTCACTGGCTACTTGCAATGCTTTTATTATGTACCTTCCTGTTGAACCATAAGCAAATACAGTTGCATTCAGACCTTGAATCACCCCAGCTATTGTAGAATGTATGCTTCTTTGGTATACGTCCTAAAATAATGCAAAGACTATATTATGCAGAGGAAAAGAAATTTAAATATTGCATATTTGAGCTTTCTAATGCCTTTCAAATTTCATCAGAGGGCTATGTTATACCACAAAATAATTGAAAGCTACATAGAAGTTAGAGAAGACATACCAAATTCGTTGAGATAGGGGCGAAGACGTAATCAAAATTATATCTGCGTTCTTTAGTTCTATTCTGTATGCGATCCAGATAGTCCTTTGATAGGTCAGGATCCAAAACAAGTACTTCCTAAAATTTCCATAGTTTTCATTACCGCGCATTACTTAAAATAAAAGTACATGACATAAACTGAATTACTCAAACAAGAAGTTAAACTAGAAACTGAAATTCCCTAACATTCCACCAAACTATAATCTGATTAATTCCGCAAAATCTGAGCAGAAAGTAAGCACAAAATCATAGAGCAGTAAAACGAATATACCTTATCGTTATGAACTCTAATTATATTTCGGCCACGATCTCTTTCTGTCAATGGCCGACATTTCACAGCTACCTATATTACACACAACCATACAGAAATTCAACAATTCAGCAAACTAAAAATGGTGAACTGCAATTCCGGTAAAACGTGGCAAAGACCAAAGCAGATAAATAAGCAAACCGTGAGAGTCGTCGTCCTCTTGGCAGCTGGAGCTCTAATGCTTGGCATCTTTTGACACCATTCAGCTAAGAATAATACTCCGCTTGAAACTCTCAGTATCGACGATTCTACACCAGGAGGGAAACCGAAAAAAAAAAAAAAAAAAGAGCCAAGTACTACTGAAAATTCGTGCTCTGTGGCGGTAAAAAAAAAAATTTTTTCCGGTTCAACATATGCTTCATGGTAGTGTAATCAACAGCGAAAATGATTATCTAAAAACTTCTATCAGCTGAAAATCTCCGGTTATTTCAATGAGCCTTATTTAAAGACAAAACAAGGTTGTTTCTACAAGAAAACGACAACGTATTGAGGACCTTTGTGCAGAGTAATTCGAAATGGCAAAACGAGGACGGGTGAAGGTGATGAATGTAATAGAGAACACGGTTTAAAAATTAAAATTAAAGAGAAAGGAAGAGGAGTATTATTATTATTATAACTCCTGCAAAGTGTTTGAATATTCAAATCTTTCCAGCTTTTGAATATTTGTAGGAGTAATTGTTCTTTCTTCCATTTTTTTTGGGTATCGGTAACGGCAGCGCAAAACTTTCATTTGCATTGAATGTAGCCGCAGAAAAATTATAATACACTAAATTAAAAGGCTACATTTCGATATCAGGATAAGAGGCGGGCGGGTAATCCAATTGCAATTTTGTAATTTGCAAATGGTAAGCTGAGTGTGTAGAAAGAATGAAGACAGAAATTTTGAGGGGAAGTTGGTGGTGGTGGAGTGAGTCCCTTGTCCGTGTTGGTTTTTATCATTTATGGTGTTGCCGTTGACGATCCCATTCTGGGGTTTCGGTTGAGGTGGCCCTTTTTGTGATCGTGGCCATTTGTTTTGTTTTTTTATTTGCTTTATTAATCGGGAAACTTGGATAAAATCAATCATTTTAATAATCCATTAGAAAATTAAATCCAGATCTTTTTCTTTTTTTTGGGCGAAGTATTATATTTTCCACATTAATCACGAAGGAAAGAAAAAGATTTCAAAACTTTTCAGAAATTTTATTATCTCCAAATTAAAAAAGCGAGGTTTCCAAGACAGAACAAACGTAACTTTCATACCCTACCCTAACTAAAGAGTTACCCAAATTGTAGGATACCTCAGTCCTAACCGCACATCAATCAACTTCGCTTTCGCTCGTTATCCAGAAAAGGTGCAGCTGTATGACTAACCCTTTTGGTGTTGGTGATGCAGTAAATTGACAGTTGAAATCCAAGTACGTGAAACAGAAGACAGCATCAAATAAAAAGAGTAGGAGAATGACGTGGCAAGAAGCCGCAATTTTACGTAGGCCGTAGACAATTCCCCATGCACGTCACCCGTCTAATACTCTACTATTAACTCATGTTAGCTCAATTGACAAAAGAAAAGATGAATTATTTTTTCGATTGTGTGTTGGAATTTCACAACCAACATGAGGGATTTATTGATTTATAGGTTTTTCTATTGTCATAATTAATTACGGAGTGAGGATTCTGTAGATAGAAGGGTATCACCATCAACTTTAACATAAATTAATACAGTCTATTAGATTGATGTAAGAAATATCCATGTTTATTGATTTAAAAAGGGCAAATCCATTTTTTTCTTTTACAATGACGTCAAATAGGTCCAAAAATTTTATTAGCAAAGGGGGAAAAGAAGTGAAATAAAATAAAAAAAGGAAAAAAAAAAAAAGAAGTGCCAATGTATGATGAGGAGGGAATATATAGAACTCAAGAGGCTAATTTATATTGAGAAAGTAATATTTTTATGCAACTAAAGAAGAGAATTTTATAAAAAGTCTAGGGATGCAATTATTATGATTCGAACTTACAAATATTGAAGAGTTTTAAGACTATTATGTAATTTTATCAAATTTGAGGGAGGAAGAGGGTAATTGTTCGCCTTCGCTCCTATCTATGTAACTCCGCCACCGGCCATATCCATGGTCTCGAAGCATGTCGTGATCGATGGTGATGGTGGCTGAAAACGAAATTACCCAAAATTTTATTCCAAAACATAAAGAGACCGATCTACTTTAACATGGTAACATGCAAAAATTCAAGCACTGCTCCGAACTTCGAAGTTACTGGCAGGATAGAGTTTACTGCAGTAGCCGTATTGGTATGATAGACCACCAAAAATATCGAAGGTTTAAGAGCAATGAGGGAGGGTCCGCCGAATTATAACCCAAGATGGAAAAAATGGCAAAGCGTAAGGATTGGTGATGACAATCCGCCGTTGGCTGCCTTTCTAAGAAAAGAACCAAAACTGTATTTCATATCAGTGGCCGTCCTGTCTGGAATTTGTCATTATTTGTTTGGTAGGATTGTACTGTGATTAATTATGACATCACTCTGAAACCTCATTAACGTTGACCCTGCATGTTTTGCAGCTGTTCTTTCGCTGTTTTGGTCAGGTGGTCCAAATGGTGATAGACAGTAAACAATACTGGACTTGCGCTCAGACTGCCCATGCTTTTTCATGAGGACATTGATTTCCTTGGGCCAGGTCCAGCTAAACAGTTTTAAAGGCTACTGAAAAAATTTTAGTCCACGAACCCCTGTAGCAGCTCAGAAATCAGGCGAACAATCAGAGAGGAAGATTCCACTCTTTGGGACATCTGATAAAAGAGAAATTTCGGACATCTCAGAATAATTAAGGAGCGGCAATCATCTGAAAAATAAACAATGAGACGGACAGGAGTGTTTAGTTTATGAGCACAAATTGCCAACATGCCCGTGAAAGTTTATATGCACAAAAACAGAAAGCCTCCTTCGATGTCTCCATGGACTTGCGTATGTACAGTTCGTCAAGAAACGACCTATTACTTCATAGATTCTTTATTGCTGCATATGCCGAAACATGAATATCACAACACTCTGCATCCCACGAGAAATCCTTTGCCATGGCATCTGTGATCTTTCTGTTCCACTGAGATGGATCCTCCTCCTGCAAACAGGAAAATAAGAAACTTAAATATCTTTGAAGGTTTTTTTTTTCAAAGCTTTTTGAAGAATTCTGAAGCTGTGAAACAGGAAAAGTTTAGAGGGAATGCCCACGATTTCATTGATTGCTTGGCTTAATGACATATTTCCAAAGGAATTTCTGATGTACTTTGAAACTTCTGGACGCCCAAAATCATGATCCGCAAAATTCCTGTTGAACCAGTAATTGCATAAACATTTTTCAGCTGTTTGACAAGCTAAAAAGCCAAAAGATATAGGAGTATTCAGACTAACCCGAATTTGTCATCAGTAAAATTTAATGCAACAAGTCCAGCTCCATATTTTATGGCCTTCAGCTGCATGATTTACCCCAGCACAGAAAAAAGCTTCAGCATTGTAAATACCCTTTTGTCATGAACGTATAACCAGAGATGCACAGGGAGATAGACAAAGTGACCATATAGGCACAATAAGCTAATTTAAGAAAATTTGTCAAGAAGGGTTATCGGGAGAAACCAAAAAAAAAGAGCCTTGGCTGCTTGAAAAATAAACAAGTCTATTTCAGTTGAGATAACAAAGACGAAATAAAAAGCAATTCTATGCAATAGTATTTAATAAAAGAAAAGGTAAAGCTCACCAATTTTAGTAACAATATTGTAGTACACATACCGGTACTTGAAGCTCTGGATCGTCGAAAGATGGGCACAAAATAATGTCGCATCCAGCTAATATCAAATGCAGTAAAGGTTCGTCATATTTATCAATAAACTTCACATTTCCATCCTGCATAGAAGAACATATACTAGATGATTTGCAGATCTCCTTTATTGGATCTAACTATTAGTCATATTCGTTCCAAATCAAAACACAAGTTTGCAGCAATGAACTTCTTTAACGACCAGGAAACTAGCTTTTAGCTGAAGATCTTCAACCATAAAGAACACAGAAGCAATCTTTTCAAGCTTCAAGTCAATCATTACAAATGATCTCCAATAAAGCATAACACTTAATCAACTTCAGCTAAACCATTTCAACTTTCAATTTATCCAAGGACAGAAAAACTTCATCTATACCATTTCAACCTTCACAGAATAAATCATGAAACTGCTATGAAACCACCACCATGACAATCATAACAGAAGGTGCTGCCTGTATCCATACGTAAACATCTGCCAGCACACAACACAGCTAAGCAATTGGAGACATGAAACAGTCAAGAATGGAAATGGAAATACGGGGCATGACATTAAGCCATAGCTAGCAGTTTTCTTCAATAATTCACCATGAACTACCTTAAGCCATAGTTAGCATTAAAATCATTTTGAAGGTGTTTTTAGCAGGAAAATTTCTATTTCTCCCCTAAAAAGTAAAGAAAGAGTGGAACCAGAGACACCAGAAATATTTAGATAAAGACAGGTGCAAAATACCTTGAGTTCTAACAGCAAAGATTCCACTTCTCTTCTTAAGTCTGGATTTTGGCTACACAACATGAAGACAAACTGAAGAGGATAATAAGAGAATCAGACGTAGGCAATAAATAAATATAGAAGATGATAAAAGGACTTTGACTGCTCAGAAGCTGATCAGTTAGTTATTCAGCATGGTTATCTGCAAGTACATTAGGATAAGCTGTTAAAAACAAATAGAAAAAGAAAGGTTCAGAAACAACCTGAATTCCCTTTCTGGAAGCCATCCAAACAAGAGTCTTGAGGTTCTCCAGGTAAACATCTGAAACTTCTGTTAACATGCAACCAACCTGGAATTACAACATTTCTATTTTTGGGTTGGTAAGACTTCATATGCTGTACAGGATACAAAAAATTTTGTGGAAACACAGATAAGTACATAGAATACATGCGAAAGGAAAGACATTTTTAATGTGCATGACTCTCCAGAAAGGTTGCTGGAGGTCGGCCTCACAGATGCTCTTTTACACATAACTAAAGGTCGTCAAGGATGAAAATGCAAAGATTAAACTCTGCTTTCCTCTTTATCTTTCAGCATACTCTATCGCTGGCTATTCTCCCAGGTGAAAGAAAGGTCAGTTCACCTACTCCCGAGATTCCCCCTCTCCCGAGATTCCCCCTCTTATCTTTTATTATTGGGGACACTTCAAGAATAAGATTTTCAATGTACTTACAAGAATCATGGAAGCATTCTTTGTTAACCCAAGGTGCTTCTGCAATGAAATTTTGCATACAGATTTCCCTTTCATATCTTCTTCACTGTAACTTTCTGGAAGAAATTTGTCCACTGAAGGATCCCAAACTGACTTGTCAAATCCATAAGGAGCAATCAGCAGCTTGTCCCTTCAATCAGAATCAGGAGTAAGGAAATGTGAGGACTAGATATCAGATTACCATGACCATGAAATAAATAATGATGGGTACAAAGCTTAGATTCTAAATTACATTTAATTGCATCACCACATCTGATGTTCAACAAAGTTACAAACACCATGCCTATTTCAACATTTTAAGGTCCAAGTTCAAAGAATGCCTCGATGGTATTACTTACTTGTGAATGGCTAAGGTGGGTTCCATTCCATGACCCAATTCAGTGATGAGATGGGCCTTTGTTTGCATGGATGCAATCACTATCACTTTATTGGAGTAAACAACTCCACCCTGAAATTTAGCAAAGAGAGTTCAAATCAAGTTCACAGCAAATTCAACGAAGCATAAATGCAACATCAGTACTTTGCAGTGCTTTCAATAATCACAAGAGAACCCACATTTCCACTATAACTGGACCAGTGGAGAACTACCTCTCTCTCTCTTTCTCTCTCTGATTTCATCTTCCCCACTCTGATCTCTATCAGTAAAGCACTTTAGAAGAACAAATTGGTGACCAGATATTTTGTTACCAATAAAAGAGATACTGCCTGTGGGATTTTTAACATTTACATGGGTCAGAATTCTTTGAACATTAAGACTCTGGAAGCTAGCAGTACCTAGTAAAATACAACTTTTAATTCATATCTGAGTTCATGCGATAATCTTCACTTCCAATTATTTGATGATTTTTGGTTGCTTAACATTATTCTTTTCCTTTTCAATGTAGAGCAGTAAATGCAGATGGCACTCAGCTTTTATCCTCAACTGGAGCAGATTTAGCAAATGTCCGGGAAGAGAGGGCAGGAGAAACACCTTTTTCCCTATATGAGCACTTATATCACAGAAACAATGATTGCACCTTTGCATGATGCTCTTCCGAAGACTAGCATTGGCTTGATCTCAAACCTTGAGATCAACCATGCATCCAAAATAGCAAACAACACCAATAAGAAAGGACCTACTTTCCCGTAGAATTCTTCCAGAGCAAGGTAATGTGCCCAGAAGCTCAGAAAGGAGGAGAATACCTTCAAAATGTTGACCATATGAGTCTTGTTATTATCTTGAAGGCGATCAGGACGATGTAGTCTTGAAGGATCAAGTCCACACAGAGCAAGCTTCTCAGGTCGTTGAAGACACTAATGAAAAAAGAATCATCAGTATAATTGCTACAAACATGGAGATAGTGCAATAGCCATCCCACAATTCAGATATATTTTACATCTGCTAAGCATAGATACATGCCTGTGAATCAAAGCCCTGGCACGTCAATAATATTCTAGTACCTTCGAGTCCCTGTGTAATAAAAGCTCAGAACTGTTAAGGTAACATCATGAATTAGTAAGCCTAATACTTAAGCTAACTTGTTATAATTAGTAGTACAAACAGACCATAAGACTAATACAGGGAGGGGGGAAAAAAAGAAAAAGAAAAAGCGTATGGTCCATTCAACCAGGAAACATAAAACTGGAAGCTTTCCAACGCCAGTTTTAGCTGTTTTAACCTAATACAAATGGATGAAGTAATAACAACCTACGACTCATGCAAAAGAATCTCTAGTTCCATGTTCATATTCCTAACAAATTAAAATAACATTTTGTTTACTCCATTCACAAAGCAAGACGCACCACAAGAGTGCTACACATAAATGTGTCACCTTCCCAAAAAAATTAAACTACTTTATTTGTATTCCTTGTGTGGTCTCGAAGAGAGGGAAGAACCAATGAAACCTGATTGACAAAAACGTCCCAAAATAGGGGCCCAACAATTGATGTTTCCCAATTGTGTATGTGAACAATATCGGGCTTCTTTCCTGATTTCACTAGATAATCCAGCGATGCACGAGAAAAATAGGTGAATCTAGCAGCATGAAGAAGTTGTTAGAAGACCACAACAAAAGCTTATGATTGTAATTATCCATGATACAAAATAAACAAGAAATGATCAGCTTATGCTCATGTATTAGGGACAAAATGAAAATATTAGGGTCAGAAATAACAGATTTTCCAGAAGAAGACTTCAAGCTACATGAGTGTGTCACCATTAGAAATGCTCAACATACAACCAAGTGAACAAATATTGGAGATGTCTACAAACCTTTCAAAGTCATTTCCATATCCATATACTCTCTCATGACTGAAAAATGCTGAATAGTAGACTGGTTGTATAAATGTAACTCCAATGCCAAAGACAACCCTGTTTTCCAATCACTTAATTGATAAATAAGAGACTAAAAGGGAAAGAAAACTGTAGCTTCTGTGTGTCTGTATATTGTTTTGCAGAATTTCTTTAGCTCCCAATAAACACAACCCCACTTCACAGAAAGACAACTAAACAAAGACAAACACCACAATTCCAACAGACAACACAATATAAGATAAAACACCGCAAAAATCCATACTCACCCAGTCCAGATTCTGTTTTTATGCAATTGACCATTAAAAAATGAATAGACTTCTGCTTCAACTTCTCGAAGACCTTGAACTTCGTCTAAATTTAGGCATGCATACCTGGTTGAAGCATTATACCAAGAATCAGATGCTTTCAGATGAGAATTAAGAGCAAGCAAAACATAAGTGCTCCTTTTTCATTGTAGAAACTGCATTACTTAAAGTGACATCGTCTACAAGTCGGTGCTTGTTCAACCACTCTGTTTTAGGTCCTAGTGATGAAGAGATGCAACAGGTTTTCTACAGCATGAGTGCACTTAATCAGTTATGATTCCCTGTTCTGGCCCAAATAAATTCACATATGCCAACAAGGACGTAAATTTTAATCTTAGTGCTGAAAGTTGCCAACTGATCGCAAGGGTGATAAACTTCATGAATATACTTGTGCAAGGGTACAGAAACCAAAAGTCACATGACACGATTTTTTAATGCAGATAGAAATGTAATTAATATTTAATGCTATTAGGAACCTAAAGCAAAGACCAAAAAGTTGTTGAAACAGACATTTAAGTAATCTAAATTGCAAAACATAACTAGAAGTTGCAAAACATAACTAAATTGCAAAACATAACTAGAAGTTGGTCTACCTTCTAATCAAAAGAATGTCTCCAGCAATGGATAAAGGAGGTTAAATGAAGCTAGTCAATTATTGTTTTACTTGAACATCCGCAATAAGAAATGTAAGCAAAACTTAAAAACTAAGAGAATGCTGTGATTACTTGGGCAAAATGACCTCGACCACATGTCCCTTTCTCTGCAGAGCACAGGATAGTCCTGTAACATAAGATGCCAAAGATCCCACAGAGACCACTGGTGCCATTTCAGCAGAAATGTGAACTATGTGGAAACCCTTCCTGGATTTGAAAAAGATGAGGATGCATAGAAATCAAAGAATAGCAAAAAAAAAAAGAATAAATGATTAGGGATAATATATATTATCCCCTAGGTGGATGTCTTCAATGTGAAAGTGGCAAAAAAAGGGAGAAGGTGGAGGTCCTATCCCATATGGGGAAACATTGTAGATGTGAGATGCATGGCTTTTGAAAACAGGAATCCAAGAGTTAGAATTAGACGCAGGATCTAGAAGAATACCTTACTTTTTACTTTTGCTGGAAAAATGGCGCAATTCCACCAGAAGTTCAGAATCTTTCTTGTGCGTGTTTTGAAACAAATTAGCTGCTATACTCATTCTTGAATTCATGACCAGCCTTCTCAAGTCAGAAGCCTCCGCATTATCAATCATTCCACTTAGAACCATTGAATCAATCCTAAGCAGCAACTCAGAGCTAATAGAAAGTGTATCCATTTCTGGTCACAAGATTAACAAACTGCATTAGAAATGTTAAAAACTTGAATAAAAAGATATCCTGAGAACTCATAATGGTTCATAACAAGAATAATCAAGCAAGATATCCGACAGAGGAGAAGACTCCATTTGGTTGGTCGTTAAACGCACTCTGAAACATTGATTGAGAAAGTTACTCAAATAAAGCACCAGAATATATGTTCATGTGGAAAGCAGTTTGAGTATCATCCCGCATTTAATTGAGCATCTTTATGAACAGCACCTACTTCAGACATCTAACCCTTCTGTCAGTGGTCCTCTCTTGAATAGGCCATTCCTAAACCCATCAAACTGATCAGAGATGGTCTACCCAAGCATGACCAATTCTCTAGCCGGGGCTCTGGGCTGTGTTTAGGCTGCTCAAAATTATTGTGGATCTAGCGGGTCTAGAAGAGCAGAATGAAACCAAACTTGCTATGTTGCCTCAGTTTCTACGAGTATAACAATAATAATGAGCATGTGATGTAATGACCATTCATGGAATACAAGTGGAGAATTAGTTTCAAAGTTTCATATGACTGCCAAACGAACGAGGTCAAAACAAGTTTTACGAGAGGAAACTTTTCAGAATAGCAGAGAACCAAGTATTAATCCTACAAGGATTGTAAAACAGAAATTCAGGCTTTACAGCTATAATCACCTTTTTCGGTGTTCAACAGCATTTTGGCCTCCAATTGCTCTATCCTATCAAGCAGTGCCGTGTTTTCCCTCTTCAGTTCATCCAGTTCTTCCAATGCCGTGAGTCGTTGTTTATTCAAATACAATATATCTGAATTCCGAAGCGAATCAGAAAATTAAGATAAGAAAGAAACCAATATGTGGTACGCAATTAAGGATAGCAAGAAAAAGAATAGCAATTGAGTACTCTGTTGTGCTTCTGTGAAGAGTTGCCATATATCATTCTGCTTCTCTTTTGGTTCATGATCCATAGACTGCGGAAGATCCTGCAAGGGAACGAGAAGCAGTCATTTTTCTAGCTACACTTTAAATCTTTCACCAACTCATGCAAGAAACAATTTCTTACCTTATGGACATCCATGTCATCATGTCTTTCCACCCTAAATTCCACAATGAAACGCAGCAAGTCACGTAACTTAAATAAGGATGCAAAATAGTAAACAAAAGAGAAAAGCTAAAACAGACCAATATTTTCAAAAATAGAAAAAGAAGAGAAGGAGCTCCTCCAAAATTACGTCATTACGTCATTTTCCCGGGGGGGGGATCAACTTAGTGGCAGTGACTGTATAAGAGCCCACCAAAAGCTGAACCTTAGGTGTTCTGGAAGCAATCTCGAAGTAAATTAATTACTATTACTTAGGCTGTACTCAAGTTAACAGAAGCCCCAACAACTAATCACGCTCTCGCGAACTTGTATATGCATACTGTATATCGATGCTTAATCCTCCAGAATATGTTAATGTGACGTCCGCATATGCGCTTATATGAACGTTATCAACATGTATGATGAGTGAATGAACGTACGTGTGTCTGTGTGTTTGTGAGAGAGAGAGAGAGTGAGAATCTATATCAAGAAGGGAGTTTGACGAGAGAGTGGTAGTAGTAACAAGTACCCCAAGCAAGAGGGAAGCCGAGCACCAAGGGGCTTGCGCTTCGTCGCACAGATTTTAGGCAAAGGAGGAAGCTTAGATAGCGGAGCATTTAACAGCAACTCCATGGCAGAGCGCCAGACCGCTACTATATTTCATTTATTCCGACCCTGAGAGACGCAGCCATGGGAGATGGGACTACTGATATCACCGGAAGGTAGCTAATTTGTTTGGTCGGGACGTGGACATGTTGGTCACGTGAGTTTTGATGACATGGCAGGTCGCTCATCACTTCATATCCCAGACTTTATGGATAACATGGCTGCATCGTGGATCATGGATGTAATAAATGGAGCAACAAGTGCTCCTGCTTCCTCGATGAAGAGAGAGATATATCCGATGTTATGAGACACGCGTCGCTGCGCCGAAAGGGCCACTTTTAACAAATTCAATTACTCTCTTGAGAATCCAACCAAATCAATGCCAAGAAGTTTGGTCTTCCCGTGATTTGATTCGTGCAGAAACTCGGATGGAGATGCTGCTGTAGGACTTCGGAAGCTTTTAACAACTAAATTCCGCGCATCTTGCCCAGTACATTCCAACCATTTTCCAGCTCCCTCACAACGTTCCCAAAAAATAAATAAATAAATTTAAGGGCAACATAGCAGGGCAAAGAAGGACTTGCAAAGAACAAGTAATTCTGAGGATAAATATACACCTGATCAAATGATTTGCTACACCAGGAATAAGGGACCCAAAAAAGAAAAAAAGGGGAAAAAAACCTTGTAAGTCTATCTTTTGACAAAAATCATTCCTAATAACTAATAAACAATGGAGCCCCACATCTAAACCACCACGTCGGGCTTACAGATGAAATAAAAAGACTAGTAGAGAGCAATTTTTCTCCACCCTCTTTTCTCCTTCCTCTCGCTTCACATACTTGGGCTTTCAGCAAAGCAACAATTACACAATTCCTGTCAGATTAGCGCATTTTCTGGTCATCGATGGCTTAACTTGCGTTTTTTGGCTTCCTTGTGCAAGCGCTCCCTTCTTTCTTCTTCTTCTATCTTGCGAAGCTCTTCTTCATCCTCTTGCCGAGCAATCCTCGCACTGAACAGTCAAAAACCAAGAAAATTTGCGGTTGTCAACCTCAACAATTGAAAAACTAGAAACCCGTACCAGCGGGAATAGGAATTCTCAAAAGAAAACCATGGTAATACATCTTTATATTCATCAACCACTGGCAACTAAGAGCAAGAGAATAAAAAACTAGAAAGCATGCTATTTCAAACGCCTACTAACCTTCTCTTTTCCTCCCTCTGAATGTCGTCAAAATTAGCCTCCATGTCACTATCATCGTCAACATCCTCATACCTACTAGGATTATATCTGAAAGAATTCACACATAAATATCAAACTGATATTTAGTCACCCAAACATAGAACTTCTGGGCTTGGGATAACGTAAGCCCGTAAGAAGGAGGTATCACAAGGTAAGTCTCTTTATCCAAATCATGGCTTTGAAAGAAAATGTTAAAAGATATGCAAGGTAATAAGACAATCTAATAGCAATTGGACGAAAATTTTGACAATAGAAAAGGACAAAAAAAGAATACCCGAACATATTCCTGATCATACGCAAAGCAGTTTCAGGATCATCTTCATCATCTTCATTGTGTCTTACGGGCCTCTTCCTTGGGCGTTCACCTCTTGAAGCATCCCGAGCTGAAGGTTTTGGTGCTGGTCGCAATACTTGCTATAATTTGGGACAATTAAATAACAGCAAAAAAGTTAGCCACCCAGCGTCTAGGTTTTGAACTACAGAAAATCAAACAACTTATTCTTAAATACAAGAATGCGGTGCACCAGGCAGTTGACATACAGCATTATTTCTTACTAGAGATAAAGAGTAACTGACCTTAGGTTTTAAGGGTGGGATGGGTTGTTTTGGTAATATCTTTGGCTTTCCTGGTGCCTGGTGTTCCTCCTTCCTCGCAGAGGACTGCTTTGAAACAGAAGTCTGCACTTTTGAAGGATTTGGTTTGTGAATGCCAGGAGCAGAGGTTCTTGCAACAGGAACCGAAGCCTTCTTATCTGACGTACTTACTGAAGGCTTTGGTGGCACACTCTTTGACACCAAAGGCCGACCTGGCCCACTACCATTACTGATGGGCTTTGTTGGCACACTCTTTGACACCACAGGCCGACCTGGCCCACTACCATTACTGATGGAAGGCTGTTTTCTATGATCTGCTAACGCACCATTATTTCCACTGAGATGTTTCCCAGACTCTACTGATGGCCGAACCAGCTTATCCCTGGAACCAAATTTCTCTGACCCTACTTTAGGCTGCATTCGGTTAATAGCAGCTGTAGGTTTCTTATCCTCGCGACTGCTGGAAACTTTTTGTCCATTAATGCTTAAAGAATCTCTGCTTCTTTCTGACAATTGTGCAGAGCGCGCCTCTTCAACATGATCAAAAAACCTGTATAAGTTTTCCTCATGAAAGTACAAGTAAGGTTTGATGGAAACTGCTAGATACGTCAAAGAGCAGCAATGTACCAGGTTTTTGGGCAGAAATACTATGAGGAACTTTTTTTGGCACAGGAAGCTCAGCATCATCAGCTAATAGAAATGAGTAATCCCTGGTATTTTTTAGCATCTCGACTTTCTTTTGTAGCTGCGATGATAAAATTTTCAGATGCAAAGCCTCCCAAATAAAAGAGCACAACAGCACATCATACAAGCGAAGGGGAAAGAGGAAGCATAAATGCAAAAACCAAAATATTACCCCATTTGTAACTTTTGGTCTGGGGCCAGCACCAGCTTGAGACTTTGACACAGATGAGGCTGAACCAGAGCTCTTGTTTCTCTGCAGGGAGATCCACAGCATTAATTTCTTAAAGAAGGATACGGAAGAAAATTTTACATCATCAGCAAAGTCACTAATATGCACCATATCAGTTTAGTTCACTAACAGTTGGTTGTATACTGGAATCTAGATTTAGTAAGCTACCATAGAGTACAAGTCATGTGCAACTAGAGGCTGAAAATAAAGGTTGCATTTCCATTCAATGATGAGATATGTCCTTCAACACATTTAAAAGTCAACCTTTGCTCAATCCGACATGAATTATAACTTCGATGGTCTTAACCCAAACTATGGCAGAGCCATCTCTGTTAAATTGTATGCTAATCATTATAAAAGCCAACCTAGAAGTTCCTTTTAGGATAGGTAATAACCATGCACAGCAATTTCAAACACTAGGAACCAAAGTCAACACCAAGTTCTTAGCTGAACAATCTTTCTCCACATACACTTTGATTAAATTTAATGACTCTAGCTGCCAAATCCGGGTTCTCAAGTAATGACTTGCTTTCTTCGATCACTCTCTGAGCAATAACTGGTTGTGAAGGTCCAAAAAAGGAACCATAACTGCACCACAAGAAAAATTAAATTAAATTAAAAAAAGATCAGTTAAAACCTTGCAGCTTGGAATGTATTTGAATCTTCAATATTGGAGAGCAAGTGAGAAGTGTAAAATCATTGAAACTGCCAAGAGATGCACAATTACAGTAGGTGTCAAGAAATACATTGATCAATTATAATTTATTAGTAATTAAATGCTAAGCAAAGATCAACAAAAATAAACTGTAGGATCCCAGCATTCGTCAAGTTCAGAATTGCACCAATTTCTTGCATTTCAGTTGTTTTGTGCACTTTCCAACACAGTACTTCAGTCTTTCAGTAAACAAAGTAGTAGCAACAAGGAACCGATGGCGACTAAATCAGATACACTGCAACAATTGGCAGATATCCTAACTTTGCAGTTGAAAAACTCCAATATATAATTGGACACATACGTCTCTTATTTTGCCAATTCTGTTCATTGTTATTTAAAGCTCTACCTGTTTAAATTCTTGAAATCAGAGAATACATGCATTCCAGCAAAATTATATCATGCCTACATTTATTTCTATAGTCAATGTAAGAGAAAAATTTTAAAACGAAGGATTGTCTCCACGTTCTGTACCAATTTGCAAATTTTCCTGTTTAAGTAGAATAGGAAATCCAGTGGTAAGTAACACTCCATCATTACAGTCTGCTATTAATGTTAGATGTTATGGCAAGTATATCAAAACTTCCATTCCCAGAAATATAGTACTTACGTATCCTTTGAGATCACATCCTTTGAGATCACATTCTTTTTCTCACGAGAACTGCCATTAGCAGTTCCCAATTCCTTCTTCAACTTCTTTCTTTTCTCTTCTTTTAATCGTTGCCTCAGTTCAAGATAATTCAACACCTCCTTAGCGGGCTTAGGATCGTCTTCCTCTTCATATTCATCTTCACCAGCATCTTTCTCTTCTTGCTCATCACCATCCTCCTCATACTCGTCTAAATCTTCATACTCCTGCATTAATAAAACTTCATTGAACATGCTACACACATCCATTAAAGCAAAAGAAATGTGAAGGAAGTCAAGGCGAGCTTTCATACATCATATCTATCATGTGCTCGCATTGCTGCATGAACTCACGAGGCAAGATTTTCCAGACGCTTGCTCCTTAAAAACCTGAAAACAGCAATGCCCAATCAGAGTAAATAAAATCAGGGAAAGCTGAATTTTGGAGAACCAACACCAAGAAACCAAAATGTTGCATACAAAAAAAGAATTAAAACTTCCGAGCTTCTTATCCGTGTAAAGGACATAACAAATTCCACAATTTTGCATATACAACTTATCAAACCGTATTCAGAAAGGAGACTATACCAAAAACACCACCTAAATTTGACATTTTCACTACGTGGATAAATTTCAAAATTTCAAAATTGCAATACTTGAACAAATTTCTTGGCCTTCATCAGGTAAAAAATAGAAATACTTATGAGGTTAAAAATGTTCTGCAATCCTCTCACTCTAAATCAGCCGTGAAACGAAAGATTCCTTGCCACTATATCATTTGCGCAAGGAATCCGAAAATTCAATTTCAGTCAGAAAACCAGAACATAGGTCCAAAACCCTAATTACCGATAAGAAAGTTGACAATAGAAGTATTTTTAAAAAAAAATCAAATCCCAATCAGCATTAGATTTCAGATCCATGATCAAGCGTTGACGTACCCAAAAAATTGATAAAGGAACAATCGTGTGCCTCTGAGTCGATCAAAACCAATATAAAAGCCCTAAATTCTCTTATAGTTTGGCGGAAAAGAAAAAAGTCCAAACCTTTTATCTAAATCAGTCGGTTTCAGGCAATGCCCAGCTGAATAAAACCCCAAGAAAGAACAACGATCTACAATCGGTCAGCAAGATGAGAAGCCCCATATGAAAAATCAAGAGGAAAAAAAAGAAAAAGAAGATGAATCATTACCTCAATTGATCCGAAAAACCTGAAAATCGGGTGGAATTGATCGAAATTGAACAAACGTGAGCAAAATCGAATCCAGATCCGAGGCGGCGATTGCTGAGAGGGGAAGGAAAGGATGATCGTAGAGAGCAAGAAGGCTTCGCCGAAGCATACAACATAGAAGACAAGATAAAGTGTGTAGGGCTAGAAGAAGGAGCAACGGAAGGACCCAGAAACAACGGGGATTCATGCTAACATGCGCATGGGGCGTGGTAAATAGTAGCAGCTGCAGCAGCACCAGAAGCCCAAACCCAAACCAGGGTTGGGTCTGAGACCGACTGTGGTAATGGTAGTTGGACATTTTCAGTTTTGGAGTGCGCGGGTCGACTCGTGCTTCGGACACATGTCTGATTGGATTTGACTCTTTGGGGGTTTCTTCGACAAGTAGTAGTGAATAAATGGAGCCTATGGCGGTTGCGGTAACGGATGGAGTAATGAGAATTATGGCCTCCGTTGACTGTGTCGTGTTTTTCCTAATTATCACAACCACTTTCCCCATCTCCTGCCGCAGCATCAGGACAGGATTTACAAGTGGCAGTAATTCCGAAAAAATTTGTACTCCGGGGTAAAGAGGTGGTAGTTATTTCCAAAATTACCACAAAGTAGGAGTAAAATATTATATTCAAAAAGAATAATTTTGATGGATTTTTTAGATAAAACTTTTTAGATAATCACTAGAATAGATTCAATGGTCAATGAAGTGCATTTTTCCGTTGTCATGCTCAGGGTTTGAATCTTGAATTTTGAAATTAAGAAAATAAATGGTGTCGACTGATAAGTACTAGGGTGAAAAAAGGATATTGGGAGATAATCAGTAGGGTGAAACATGTATTGTGGAATTAAAAATAGGAAGGGTGTCAGGAGATAATCAATGTGGTGAATTTGGATTTTGTAGTTGAGAATAGGAAGGGTGTTGAAAGATAAATCACTGGATTTGCTTTAGCGATCAGAAATTGAGAATAGGAAGGATGTTGAGAGATAATGGTTTTAGAATTTTGTGGCATGGTGATTAGTAGTTGATAATATGAAGGTGTTGGGAGATAATTGCTCCGTTTAGATTAGCTATTTTTTGGTGTGTTTTTCAAAAATTTTACTGTAGTAGAGTTTTTATATTGTATTTTGGATATTTTTAAAAAATATTTTGGAATATTTAAGAGTAGAAAAGTTTCTAGAATATATTTTAAAATGTTTTTAAAATTTTAAAAAAATTTAAACTAATTTTTAGATGATCTTTTAGAGTACTTTTTAAAAATTTTATATAATTTGAAAAACTAGTTTTTGAAAAACAAACCCATCCAATATTCTTAGAATTCTAGATTTTGCAGTTGAGAGTAGCAGGGGTGTCTGGAGATAAATCACTGGAGTTGGCATAATAACGCGAGAAGTACTCTTAGACCTCTTCCCATTACTAGATTCAGTTTGAATCCTAGAGAAGTGCAAAATGATGCCTCATTCAATAGAAAATTCTTCCAATGAAAGAGATTATTATATTCCCACACTTTTATTTTTTTTGTAAGTAGATGTGAGATCTAAAAATTCCCTTTTCGTAGTTGTAGAAGGAATTTTTGATTTTAGAGAAAGAATTGTAATGCTTTCTTATATTCGATCAAGTCGAAGGATTTAGTTACAAGGATGATGCTTTAGAATATGGAAAGATAAAATGTGGAACTTATAAAAAAAATAAAAATGATTAGTTTTAAAACTTAGTTGAATCAAAAAAATCTTTTTTTGAGTGATTCGGTAATAACATTTTTATTAGAGTTTTTCCACGGTCGAATTCAATTTGAATCCTTCCTATTGTTATATTTGGTTTGAATCTTGAGTTTGACAATTGATGGTAGGAACGGGTGATAGGGTAAAACAAATTAAAAAAAAAACGTTTTACATTACTTTACTCCTCTGGATGGTAAAGATAATTTGAAGTGTTAAAACTGTGATAGATTTGTCAAATTTGTTATATTGCCTTTCAACCAAAACTACCCCCTCCTCTCTCTCACTCTCACTCTCTCTCTCTCTTAATTGGAAAGTTTACACACTTGAATTGATGAATGTGTTAGGCTGTATATGAAAAGATTTAGTACAATACTAAAAGACACTTTACCTTCTATTTTCCAATTTGAACTAGTAATTGTCAGTTCTCACAATATTGAGTAGAGGTGGCAATTTGTCCCAAGTCCCAATGGGTTACCCATGCCCATGGGGACTTTGGGCGGGATGGGTATTGGATTTTGATATTGGGTTTAAAATGGGACAAATCCCAATTGTACCCATTAATTGATGGGAATACTTGGGAAATACTTGGGTACTCATTGGGCTCAAATAACAAGGGCTCTGTTTGGTTTAGCTATTTTTGGGGGGTATTTTTGAAATATTTTATTATAGCAGTGTATATGAAAAATTTTTACTATAAAATTTTTTTGAAATATTTGATATACTAATATGGATGGGATGTTTTTTGAGTTATTGTATATTACTGTAACATTGTATTTGAAAAACTTATTTTTTTGAAAAAATAGCCAATCCAAACGGAGTCTTAAATTAAAAAATTATCTTTAACAATTTTTATAGTCATACTAGAGAATATAATCTAGTAGTTTTCCTAGTCATTATCCACAAGCATTTTCAATATTTCAGTCAATTTAGACCTGTCATCTTTGGACAATGATGAGAATAAATATTCAACATCTTAAGTACCTTGGCCATCTTGATATATGTTGGAATATGACTGTATATCTATATTTTTCTTTATTTGTTAATCCAATTTTTTATGGGAATCCTGAGTATAAAGTACTTGCATGTTTATTTAATAAAACTAAAAAAAAATTAATAAATCAAAAATATAAAAATTATATAAAAAATAAAAATGAATTAAAGGAAAAAAAATATGTAGAAAATAGATTTGGGTATTGGGCGGGATCAATCTAAACCCATCCCAAAGTGATCCCGCCCAAGTTAGTCCCAAAACACATATGGGTAAGATTGGGCCCAAACCCATATGACTCGGTTCCATCACAAACCCAAGCAAATCCCGCCCATCCCGCCCATTTTGCCACCTCTAATATTGAGTAAAGTTTACTAGTGTGAGAATTTGTATTGTTTTCTCTTATTTTGCTTGTTGTGTTACAATTTACACGTCCTTTACCAGGTAGATTAGATGTCCATCACTTATATGAACGGTTGAACAGTGATTGATTGCTTGCTGAACTCTTGCACACCATGCTATGTCTGATTATTTGCTAAAGTTTGTTATTCCATAATTCTAATATATTGTATGCTCTCCACGAGACATAGGACTAAAACATGGTACAAGTATTTTATTGAGAAAAATATGAACTAGTTATGGAAAGAGGAAAAAATAAATAAAAAAAAACCATATTTTTCTTCACTACAAGCATTTCTTGCCTTTTTTGTGTGTATTTTATATACTTCTTTTTTCTCTTCAAATATTCACCTAATATAGTAATTTTAATATGCTTAGAAAGAGAAGACATGTGTTTTTTTTTTTTTTTTTTTTTCTATCACACAAAGTTGTACATCATATGGAATAGCATTCTTCTAAATGTATATAGGATTATCCCTTTTATAGAGCAATTCAACCTTAAAAAAGAAAAAAAAAAAGTCCGATGTGAACATGGTTAATTTCTTGATATCCATTGTTTGATGGTTGCATTTGGTTCACTAACTACTACGTGATTATTTTTGTTCCACTAGAATCATTACCAAAAACATAATGCTATATATTACGCTAATTTATACTAGGAATAGAATCAGCCATCCAGTTCACGGGAGATGATTTATTTCATTTCAGATTTCACCAAGGGAATGGCGTGAGGCACTCTTGTCTCACAAAATGGGAAGGGAATAGGACTACTAGCTACTTATTTGCATCAATTGTAGCTTTTTTTCTATTCATACATATGAGGTTCCAGTACTCATTTCTTCCAACAACATGTTAGAATACAGGACCAGCAGCCAAAATCTCTTCTGCCAAGTTGTTATCTATCCCGATCTTGTGGCTCACGAATACTTCAAAGTTGTTCTTGAAAAGGCCAGCTAGCTTCAGCAGTGTTTCATTATAAGCATCCTTGTCGGACCACTGCACCACAAGATTGAAGGATATAACTCGAACGTGGACGGTAAGCAACAAAATGAAAGACTGGTAAAAAATGAGGACAAGTTAGTCAGAAATGAAGAATAGAAATCGTCAACTAACAGTGTTCACGGGATCCAGAATATCAGAAGGCACTCCCTCAATCTCGGATGGAATTTCAAGCCCAAACACCTTAGTCTTTTTGTAATTTGCATTCAAAAGACTTCCCGAGTGTATGGCATCAATTATTTTCCGTGTATGCGCCAACTTTATACGGCTTCCTACACCGTATCTGCAAGAGAAACAAGAGACAAGCATTAGCATAATTAGTTTTGCAACAATGTTGTATGAAGTTCTCAGTTAAGTTTACACGTTAGGAAATTGAATATTCTATTTGTGCTACTTTTACACATGCATACCTTCCTCCCGACCAACCAGTGTTGACGAGCCACCCTGTTGCACCGTGTTTCTGCATCTTTTCAGCCAACATTGCAGCATACTTAGTAGGATGCAACATGATAAATGCTGCGCCAAAGCATGCAGAAAATGTAGCCTGGGGCTCTTTTATGCCATCCTCCGTGCCTGCAACCTGTATTTAAGAATATTTCCGTGAGAATAAAGCAAGTTAAAGATACAAAACGAAGAAAAGAAGAGAAGGGATCTCAAGAAAGCTTTGTATTGCACAACCGATGTTGATGAATTTGCCTTGAGAAATTAAAGGGTACTCTATGAAGAGGGATAAATACCAGAGCAGTGTAGCCGCTGATGAAATGGTACATGGTCTGTGCCAAGCTCAGCTTGCTCACAGGGGGAAGAACACCGAAGGCATCACAAGCCAAGAGTATGACGTTCTTTGGGTGTGGGCCAACACATGGAAGTTTTGCGTTAGGAATGAATTCAATGGGATAGGCTGCACGGGTATTTTCTGAGGAAACAAACAAGCAAGTTTATTGAGCAGTCAGATGTTCATAGAAATTTGACACAAATTATCTTCTACATCATTTATTAAGCAAGTTCAAGATCTATGCGCTCAGATTTTTCCGTCAATAGTGACTACTTAAATCAAGCTTCATCATTTTTCTAGAACCAAATCCAACATTGGGAATTTAGTCTCCAAGCATAAATTGTTTGACTGTTGGCTAGCTATCCCTCAAGGCATAATGTGATGGATACAACGACTATTAGAGGTCAAACT